GGTCTTTGGTCTATCATCTGGATTGACATGTACTGTCTAGTAGGCACTGCGAGCATCCAGAGCAGTAAACCATATTGTTCCGTGCAGCTGATCAAAAAGCTCATCAATGCGTGGCATTGGATAAGCATCCTGCTTTGTAATGCTGTTGAGACCCCTGTAATCAATACAGAAATGGGTGGACCCATCTTTCTTTCTCACGAGAACGACTGGGGAATGCCAAGGAGAGGTGGAATGCTCAATAACACCCTGTGCAAGCATATTGTCACATTCCTCTCTAATGAGCCTTTTAGATGCTTCTGGGAGACGCCACTGTCGCATACATAGTGGACCTTCACCCCCTTTTGTTTTTATAGTATAGAAGATGCCAGGTACAGTACCTAACTTCGCCTGTGCATCATATAATGTCACATTCTTAGCCAGTACCTGCCTCAGCTGCTATTGCTGCCCGAGAGAGAGGTATCAGTATCACAAACACTAACATCACTTTTCTTGTTATCAACATCTACACATGTGTTTCCAGCCTCAAGTGAGAAGACCTGCACAATATCCTCAAACTATAGCTAACCTATGTCCATTTCTTTTTATTTTACAGGACGTGCAGTCTCATTTACTGCCCAGACTTTAATGCGGCCCTCTTTAACCTCTTGTATAGACCTAGGTACCCCCAAGGGACACTCAATACCGGAAACCATAAGTTCCTTGACGGCTTGCATACCCCTAGGTACACTACACTTGACAAAGCGCCCACTACGAGGCGGCACAACAGCAGGTACAGCAACATATGTTACCTGTGAAGCAGGTGGTGATCTTGATTGCTTGTGGTGTACCTCAACAAGAACAACTTGGAGTGACTGGGAATCGGTATACAAGACTGGGAACTCTTGACCTTGCAAGATCAATAAATCCCCTTTACTGCGGTCAGAAAAAACACTCGAGCCTGAAGTTGAAACGTCTGAGGAGATCCATGCCCAAAATAACTTGAAATAACTGGAAAGGAAATGTCATCTAAGATACACACTTTATGTTTAACACACACACTCGTTCATTCACACTAAATTTTACCAAACTTTCACCCAGAATTGGAAAGGTCTTACCAGAAATTCCTTTCACTCGTTTAAATGATTCTTTCTCACACCTTATTCCCATTTTTCCTGCAGCCATCCCCTTGACAATGGTCACCTCAGACCCCGTGTCGACAAAACACTTCGTCTTGTAGCCATTAATCATTAAATGAACCATAGGCCGACCTGAAGGTTTCTCAGCAACCTTACCCTCACAGTCAGTGGTTGACAGCACCTCTTTGCTCGCCAGTGACGGTGTCGCTGCCACGCCCGACCTGGCGCGATACAAAGGGACACTGCCGTGCAATGTGACCTGGCTCACCACATGCAAAGCACTTCCTCCTTACGCTCAACACACGACACTCTGAGCTATCATGTTCGTGGTTCTTGTAGTAGCGACAGAAGGATCTACCTCGGCTGCTGCAAGAGTTCGTGGTCGGAAAAGCGATCTAGCAGGAGGAGAGCTTATCCCAGGACTTTCACTTTCCCTGAGACTCCAAACTCTCTGGGTGGTCTCAACAAGACTAGAGAGCTCTGCCTCTACCTTCACCACAACTGCTTCCCTGATCCACCGAGGAAGTCCTTGCAAAAAGACCCGTCTGATGAGGTCATCTGGGTCACCAATAGCCCGAGGGTAATCCCGTACTCCCTGGTAGACCATACCTTCCAAAATTAAGTAAAAATCCATGGGTGCTTGCCCAGGCGGTAGCTTCTGACTATGAAGCACGCGATAAAAATCAGAGTACCAGTTCCCCTGAATTTCTGCCTAAGCTTGTCTTTAAATTCAACCCAGGACACGATATTTTCAAAAAAGGGTGAATTTATTATCAGTTCTGCCGCACCCTTGCATGAAGCCTTTGCGGCTTTTAAAAAAAACTCATATTGAAGCATTCATAAAACTCACCATAACAGAAAAAACGCATAAAACACGCAGTCATTAAAACATTCGCTTAAAGATTCACTAAAACAGCCATAAAACACGTATCGATACACTTGCATAAAACTCCCTAAAATAATCATCCATCAACCTTCAGAGACATCCTGAAATAATCGCAAAACATATACACAGTCGAAAAAAATCAATCCTAAAACGAAACAATCATAAAACAGCCAAAATAAAAACCTGTAAACTGCGTGACCTCCTACGAATAACTTCTCAATACAAACTTCCACACAGTCACAAAAGGCAAACAGCCAATTCCTAAAACAATCAGGGGATCACTCGTAAAACATTCAGTCTCCCGCCAGAAAGTCAAAGCTTGTATCGAAATACCGAAGATAAAAACACCAGAAAAACACACACACAAAAAACAAGACCATTTAACACCGAAGCAAACAGCCGTAAAACACCTATACATAAAACTGAAGAAAACCACTAAGCCAAATCAAATAAAAGCCAAAAGAGTAATACAAATCAAAACAGAAAAAAAAACGGAACAGAAACCAATCTAAATAAAAGGACAAAGTAAGATGAATAAAAATACCATGTGTGACAGACCGACTACGTGACTACGGGTTAAGAACTGCACAAAGACGTATGAGCGTCTTGGACATAACGAGCAGTAACACCGTCTTGGAGTCATCGAATCCGCTAATTACTAGTAAACACAAGCAAAACGCCATTTCCCGCCGCTTGCCACCAAAATATATGTTACGCTGTAGTGGATAATCAAAACTCCATAGAGTTAGAGATGTTAATTTGGTAGCGTGTTACCCAACTACAGGTAATCTCCAATGGGTTTGGCGTAAATTTGGTGATGTCTCTCGGGTGATTTGAAAGTAATCCCGTAGTCACAATAAAAGAATATCACTGGCTGGCTAAAAAAGGCAACATAAAAAGAGCATCCATATTATACGACAACGGGGAGACAGGCAAAAGACACACATCAGAAGTCATATCATTCCAAGAGCTATAGACATGAGACAAAACGAGAATGCTTATCTCCTAAGGACCGTCGGTTCCACCTCGGTAAATTCAGGGCGCTCTCGTATAGACGTCAGTAATCATGTTATTGCTTCAAACTTCGCTGTAATCTTGTAGTTCCCGAAGGTCCTATAGATACGTGCATTATCTGTGAATTATGGAGTAAACAGGAAGCACGAGGCATTCACGTCAGTTCCACTTCTGGCACCGAGATGGCCGGCCGTGGCACCAAGTTGTGGCACTGCCTCGTCCTCACTGCCCTCATAAGCACTACTTTCACCGTGGAGATTCCAAAGAAGGAGGGACACTTTTGTGCGGAAATTCCTGCCGGAGAGGAACGCGAAGCCGACGTCCCTCTCTACGTTGGATTATACCCAGTCAACGAGGAGTGGGAGTGGGGCGTGGAATTCAGAGGTAGAGGAGGGAACAGGCTTTTCCACCTCTCCCTCCACAATCGCGGACAGAAAATAGAGGTTCAAACTAGTAAGGCAAATAAAACAGCAGATTGGGCACAAGATAATTTTCCTTTAAACGAGTGGTCTTACCTGGCCATCTACTTTGATGGAAGTGACTTGGCAATAATTCAGAAGCAAGGCAAGGGGGCCGGGATAATCACAAGCAAACTTAAGAGACGCCGCATCAAAAAGACCACCATGAGTGCTTCTGGTGTTGACGTGACTTACAACTGCATAGAAGGGCATTCCATCACCTATTCAAATAACACTTTGGAAGTTCACGGTAACTGCCTCTACTTCCTCCAGTCTACTCATCAAACTATGACTCTTTCAAGTGCCAATACAATTTTCGAAGTGACAAACGTTGAATGGTATGATATCGTCAATCAAACAGAAAAGTATTCCTTTGAAAGAGTGATATTTGTGGTTGAGACTTGTGACGCGGCACTCGTCGAGACCTGGATGACTCCAGCGGTTCTCAGCACTGAAGGAATTCCGTCAAAATTCTCAGAAGCAACAAGTGCCCTTCCGAAAATTCTGAAAGACCGGTCGCTTCAGTCAGAGCAGCCTGCAACTCCAACACCGACCGACGGAATTCCAACACTGACGACCACAGAACCTTCAGCCCTTTCTGAAGCCCCCCGGACGGATGTTAAGACGACGACCACGGAGACGGCGCCCTCACCATCTAAGGAGGCGTCTTCAGGAGGAACTGTCGCAGCCATTGTCATCGTGCTGCTGATTTTTGTTCTTGTGGCAGGCGTGGCACTCTACAAGAAAGGGTATGTCGCTGAAGCCTCCAGATTTTGCTGCGAGACGGTTTGCCGAAGACGCGAGGTGACGCTGGATCAGCAGAAGGAAGAATCCGACTGCAAAGAAGAAGCGGAACTTTGAATGCAAGAAGAAATGTTGATGGATTTAAATTTTGCTGAAGTTCTGACTGCCTTTCGGAGAGAGAGAGAGAGAGAGAGAGAGAGAATGAAAGAGAAACAAATAAATAGAGAGAGAGATTGAGAACAGAGAAAAGGGGATGGCTAAAAAACAGAACAAATTAGTGAAC